TACGTAACGACTATGTGGTGTAAACTAGATTAAGTAACAACTATATGGTGTAAACTAGATTAAGTAACGACTATATGGTGTAAACTAGATTAAGTAACGACTATATGATGTAAACTAGATTACGTAACGACTATGTGGTGTAAACTAGATTAAGTAACGACTATATGATGTAAACTAGATTAAGTAACGACTATATGGTGTAAACTAGATTAAGTAACGACTATATGGTGTGAACTAGATTAAGTAACGACTGTATGGTGTGAACTAGATTAAGTAACGACTATTAATCTAGTTCACACCATTACTTAATCTAGTTTACACCATATAGTCGTTACTTCGACTATATGGTGTAAACTAGATTAAGTAACGACTATATCTCATGGTTATGCCCATCCCCATCTTTCGAGTTGATAACTTCATTATTTTTTCACAAGTACATTGATGACTTGGAAAGCCAAACTTTTGGCAACAGTGAGACAAATTGTTATTGTTCTATACCATGAACCTTCTGAAACCATGACGTACCAAAAGGTCAAAGTTCGAAAAGCCAAATCTAAAAAGTATTTTGATTAAGTGCTCTAAATAGAATGGTCAAAATGAAAAATGTGGTCAACAACATTTTTTTAATTCAAAGAAAATGTAAAAAGAAAAAAAATTGAAACGTTTTATTTTGATGTCCCTCTCGTTTACGCGTGTTGAACTTTGAATGAGGATCAAAACAAAAACACGACACAAACAAAATTCAATGTAATTGTAGCCTGTCAAGTGAGAATATGCAGGTATTTTCTATAAGAAGAACAAACCTGACCTACTACTTCAATATTTACGTTTTTACTTATGTTTAGTATATCAGTAACTGGTTACGAACCCAAACCTGATTATATAATTCACTGTTAGATTTCTCGGTATTCTAGACGATACCCTGGTTCGTCATTTACAGTTAATGCGTACGAGTACATTGTTTTTGTCGTTTACTTTAATTGAAGTTCTAAGATATTCACATCAATATATATGTGTCCTTCCAAAACAAGGTGAAGACTGTCACTTGATTTCATGTCACCACAGATTTGTCTAATGTCATAAGTAGATCACCACAGAATTGTCTAATGTCATAAGTAGATCACCACAGAATTGTCTAATGTTATAAGTAGATTACCACAGATTTGTCTAATGTCATAAGTAGATCACCACAGATTTGTCTAATGTCATAAGTAGATC